TTTTCTGGATTTCTATTCATCCAACTGTAAAAAGAAAAAAAAAAAATGTGGCTGACCTAGGATAACTGCTCAGATTACTACTTCAGAAATTCTGTTAACTTAAATTTCAATGAAATTTGCAAAATCTTAAGAGGATAGTCAGGTTAAGAAACCACATTCCATCCATTCACATATGGTTTCCTTATTTTATCAAAACCAGTACTTTCAAAATAATCTTTAAAAAAAGAAATCTGACCAGGTACAGTGGCTAACACTTATAATCCCAGCACTTTGGGAGGCCAAGACAAGGAGACCACTTGAACTCAGGAGTTCAAGACCAGTCTGGGCAACATGGCAAAACCCCGTCTCTTCTAAAAATACAAAACATTAGCTAGGCATGGTGGTACATTCCTGTAATCCCAGCTACGAGGGAGGCTGAGGTGGGAGGATCACCTGAGCCCAGAATTCAAGCCTGCAGTGAGCCAAGATTACACCACTGCATTCAAGCCTGGATGACAGAAGACCCTGCCTGAAAAAAAAAAAAAGAAGAAAAATTTCAAAAGTACCAGAAATAACTTGAGGTTGACCTGAGAATTAGGCAGCCCCCAAAATAAAAACAAAATATCAACAAGCTACAAAAAATAGCACATGAAATCTAATATTTCAGTAATAATATTTGAATACTAATTGGACATTGCAAAAGAAATGTTAATTTAATGCTTTTTGAGTTTTAGACAAAACCCATGGAAAGTTTAGCACCATTCATTGAGATTCAGGTGTTTCTGAAAAAGAACTAAACATCTTGAGAGAAGCAGAAAACTGCATGTGTTTTAAGTTATATTATGCTACAGAACTTCTGACAAAAGAAAACCACAAAAGGCAACTTTTGGATACATTCATATTAATAAGATTCTACCCTAATACTCTAAAAAGTAAAAGTGGCAGATTTTTTAAATGAAATCTTAGATAATGGAAAGCAAAAATGCACAGTAAGAACTGTCTTAATTACTGGAAATGCAGGCACCTCTAATTTTCAATATCTAAGGCAGAAATTTTCAATCTTTTGGCTTCCCTGAGCCATAATGGAAGAAGAACTGTCTTGGGCCACACATAAAATACACTAAGGACAGCTGATGAGCTAAAAATAAATAAATAAAAAATATATCACAAAGAAAATCTCATAATGTTCCAAGAAAGCTTGCAAATTTGTGTTGGGCTGCATTTTACATGCAGCCCACAGGGCATGGGTTGGACAGCTTGATTTAAGGTTTTGAAATACAATCAACTTAGAAAGCATCTTCAGCATGATTCATGCTTTTTCTGGGCTCATTTATTCATTTCCCTTGCCAGTTCGTTCATTTATGATGACCAAGCATAATCAGTACTCACACTAAACACCAGGAGCACCATCTCTTGTTTTTTTTTTTTTAAAAAAAGGGTAATCACAAGTGTCTACATCATACAGAACACTGGGTGAGGGGGTAGGGGAGAGCTGTTACAGACAGAATCATGGTGTTTCTTTTCTCTCTTTCAGGAATTCACTGAGAACAAAAAAAAAAAAAAAAGGTAAACTAGGCAAAGTAACAATGTAGGTGAATATAGGTGAGATACCATTATATCTGTAAAACAACCCAAAATGTAAATGTCTTCAGTAAAAGAATGCTATTACTTTCAACCTTCTTTCCAATCCTTGGCACTTCAATTTAACATGCATCTGGAACCAAGCTACCCCAACTATATATTTCACAGACTATTAAAATACTTGAATGTATTTGTCTACTATCCAAAATTAACGGTAAGCAAAAAATAACTATAATTAAGTAATTTGTTTATAATAATCATTACCATCTTTCCCCTTGTCTAGGCCTGGATATTTCATTTACTTTTGTTATTTTAATCTAGTTTCTCTCTTCTTAAGGCAAGAGGATCACTTGAAGCCAGGAGTTCAAAACCAGCCTTGGTAGCATAGCAAGACCCCATCTCTAAAAAAAGTTTTAAAAATTAGCCAGGCCTAGTGGCACACACCAGTAGTCACGCTACTCAGGAAGCTGAGGTCGGAGGCTCACCTGAGCCCAGAGTCTGAGGTTACAGTGAGCTATGATTGCACCACTGCACTCCAGTCTAGGCAACAGAGCAAGCCCCTGTCTCAAAAAAAAAAAAGGAGGCGGCGGCGGAGGAGGAGGAGAAAGAAAAATAAAAAAGGAATGTATCCCAGAAATAAAAGGATGGTTTAATCTCTAAAAATCAATATAATAACTACTATCATACAGAACAAAATCACATGATCATCTCAATAGATGCAGAAAAAGCATTTCCCAAAATCCAGTAACCATTCATGGTTGTTGATTTGTTAAAGAAAATATGTTAAATGATATCAAGAACACTACAGTATGTATGTTAATGGAGATACAATGAAGAAGTTAAGGCAAAATACATGAAACAAAAGAAGTTTATTACTCACAGGTCCCAGAGAGGTTAGAGTGCCAAACAGAGACAGACAGGAGAAAGCAGCAAAAAGGAGAGGGAGAAAGAATTGTAGAACTACACCTTTGTTAAGGACATTATCCCTTATGCCTTCCCTCAAGAGTTGTGAATTGGCTAGGGAAAACACATGTGAATGTGAACTTATTCACATGACTCTGAGGCTGACCCTTAGGTTTTATTATGGTCGACAGCTCATGGTGTGTTCATTTTGGGTCAGTGAAATGAGCCACAAGTAGGCCATATTGCAAACGCTGCAGGGAGAGGAAGTTTTAACTAGGCCAAAGATGACAGGGAATGACAGGTTACAAACAATTTATGTTAGGTCTAAAATGGATGCTAAGATAGCAACTACCTTAAACTTATCACAGTGATTAAAAACTCCTGGACTAAGAAGAAAGCTTCTTCAACCTGATAAGTCGTTTACAAAAAAACAACTAACATCACGCTTAATGGTGAAGGACTGAATTCTTTCCCCTGAAATCCAGAACAAGGGTGGAATCGCTAATCTTATAATTTCTACGCAACATTGCAAAGGAAGCTCTATCCCGTGCAATAAGGCAGGAGGGAAGAAAAGAAGGGGGGAAGGGAAAGAAAACATCTAGGTTGGAAAAGAGGTAAAACTATATTGCTAGTCAATTTCACGATTACCATATTTTATGATCAACTGTAGTGACTACAAAGAGGAAACCTGAGGGAGTTCCTCTGCTGATGGAACAGTTCTTTAACTTGATGTGGTAGTAATTATATGAATCTATACATATGATTAAATTGCACAGAACACACAACTGAGTGCATGTATAAACTAGTGAAATCTGAATAACGTCTGTAGGTGGTACCTGGTTTTGATATTATATTATAATTAGGATGTTACCACTGGGGGAAGCTGGGTAAAGAGTAGACAGAACCTCTGTGCACTATTTTTGAATTTCCGATGAGTCTATCATTGTTTCACAATAAAGTTATTTTTAAAGTTAACTGTATTTCTACACACTGGCAACAAGCAATGAAAATGAAATTACAATCTTCAGATGATTCTTTTGTGAAAACTTTGGGCACCACTGACTTAGTCTTTTTTGAGACAGCAAATACAGAAGTTACATGAGCACAGGATGTATCATACTACAAACTATATCTGAGTGAAGTTCCCAAATATTACAATCTCTTGGCAATCATTAAAAATTTTCCAAGCCCAACCGGGCGCGGTGGCTCATGCCTGTAATCCCAGCACTTTGGGAGGCCAAGGCGGGTGGATCACGAGGTCAAGAGATCGAGACTATCCTGGTCAACATGGTGAAACCCCGTCTCTACTAAAAATACAAAAAATTGGCTGGGCATGGTGGTGCGTGCCTGTAATCCCAGCTACTCAGGAGGCTGAGGCAGAAGAATTGCCTGAACCCAGGGGGTGGAGGTTGCGGTGAGCCGAGATCGCGCCATTGCACTCCAGCCTGGGTAACATGAGTGAAACTCCGTCTCAAAAAAAAAAAAAAAAAAAAAAAATTTCCAAGCCCATGTGTCACTTCAGACCATCGCAATTTCTGAGACTAGGTCAAAGGCATCAGTATAGCAACAATTCTCAAATTTATGTCTCAGGACCTCTTACAGCTTTAAGACCCCAAGACAGAGTAAAAATAGAAAAGGAGGAAAAAAGAGATTAATGAAACAGGAATGTCTTGAACCCAGGAAACAAAAAAAAAGGAAGATAAAGTCACAGAGAAGTAATTAAGATGTCCAAGGGAGAATAATAGATTCAAATGAAAATTTTATAAAGGGCATTGAGGAAAAGTAGAAAAATAATCATAAGAAAGTGAAATTTGAAAAGAAGTATGAAGGGTCAAAGCAGAAGTGAATAAAAAGGAAATGAGGCAAAGAAAGTTAAATATTCATATAATATAAATACATATACCTCTAAGATACATCAAACTCTGGAACATAGTCAAAACACTAAAATGGAATATTTTAAACAATACTCCAAGAACATTTCTGAAAATAAAAGACCTAAATCTACACATTATAAGAGCTGGCTGGGCGTGATGGGTCATGCCTGTAATCCCTATACTTTGGGAGGCCGAGGCAGGTAGATCAAGAGGTCAAGAGATAGAGGCCATCCCGGCCAACATGGTGAAACCCCATCTCTACTAAAAATACAAAAATTAGCTGGATGTGGGGGCACATGCCTGTGGTTCCAGCTACTTGGGAAGCTTAGGCAGGAGAATCGCTTGAACCCAGGAAGCGGAGGTTGCAGTGAGCCAAGACCATGCCACTGTACTCCAGCCTGGTGACAGAGCAAGATTCCATCTCAAAAAAAGAAAAAGAGCCAACTGGGGAAAACTGACCAAGAACAAACAACCCCAAGGAATGGTATACAACTAATACAATTCTAGAGGCACAGGAGAGACACTGATCCATTACAGTCAATGGAAACATCAGGGCTTGAGCGCCATCTAAACAAGGGATGACTAAAGAAACGTAAGCAAAAGGACTGATTACAAAGTGAGCATTTTCTGTATTTAACTGTAGAACTAAGAATAAAAAACAAGACAGAAATATGAGCTCATCCTGGGCTGGTAAGCTACAGGCCATGACATCCACAGAGCACTGTGCTGATCCATGAGTAATATAGCTGGGAGGCCCCCAACCCCATCCACCTCACTGTGGACCCAAGCCTCCAGAACGGCCGCATGAGCATCAAAGCCTATGTTAGCACTTTAATGGGTGCTCCTGGGAGGACCATGGGAGTGATGTTCGCACTTCTGACAGTGAAATACACATACTATGACACTGAACACATTGGAGTTGGCCTGACTATGAAAGCCTCCTTTAGCCCCAACCGAGTGACTGGACTTTCAGCGACTTGCAGCAAGTAGGAGGGGCATCAGCTCACATCCAAGATGCCTCGAACACAGTGTTGCAATATGCAAAGGATGTACTGTCTGCAAACGTGCCAGCTGACAATACTGTGGGCCGCTTCCTGATGAGCCTGGTTAACCAAGCACCCAAAATAGTTCCCAATGACTTCAAGACCATACTCAACAGCAACATCAATGACCTACCTGGCCAACCTCAGACAGTCACAGATTGCCCTCAAACAGAAACTTGTAAACCTGTGAATTGACCCCAATCAGAACACCTGCCGGTCTAGGTCTCAACCCCAGGACTCAGAAGTGAAGGAGAAATGGTTTTTTTGTGGTCTTGAGTCACACTGAGACAGTCAACTGCTTGTGACTCTAATAAACATAGCCTACCTTTTGTAAACTTAAAAAAAAACTGACTACATAAAGATAAAATATTTTGCATGGGGGAAAAAAAATCAGAAAAGTCAAAACTAAGAGAAATATTGTATCATATAAAGGAACATTATTCCTAAGGCAAAGAAAAAAAACTTTTAAAAAATGAACAGAAAAGGTGCAAAAATTCTATAGATATAATGAGCAACAGACAATTCTCAAAATAATATAAAAATTTCCCTTGAACATAAAGGATGCTCAACTTCAATCATAATAAAGGCAATATAATTAAACTACACAAAGATTTTTTCACTCATTAGACTGGCAAAAATTTGAAAGCTTCACAATATACTCTAGCGAGCAGGCTACAAAGAAACAGGCACTCACACACTGCTCAGAGCAATGCAAAACGGTACAATCTCTACGGAGGAGAATTCAGCCGAGTCTAACAAGATTACATATACATTTATCCTTCAACCCAGAAATCCAACTTTGAAGACTTTATCCCCAAGTTAAACCTCCTGCAATACAAAAAAAAAAAAAAGAGCCGGGCGCGGTGGCTCACGCCTGTAATCCCAGCACTTTGGGAGGCCGAGGCGGGTGGATCATGAGGTCAAGAGATCGAGACCATCCTGGTCAACAAAGTGAAACCCCGCTTCTACTAAAAATACAAAAAATTAGCTGGGCATGGTGGCGCGTGCCTGTAATCCCAGCTACTCAGGAGGCCGAGGCAGGAGAATTGCCTGAACCCAGGAGGCAGAGGTTGCGGTGAGTCGAGATCGCGCCATTGCACTCCAGCCTGGGTAACAAGAGTGAAACTCCGTCTCAAAAAAAAAAAATCATATGCACAAGGTTATTCATAGCCACATTATTTGTACTGTAATTGCAAAATACTGGAAACTACCTAAATGTCCAAACACAGAAGGCTGGTAACCAAACTGCATTATATTCACAGTATGTAAACTGCACTATACAGCTGTAAAATTAATTTTGAAGAGGTGCTCTGGAATCTGATAGAGTAATTAATTTCTAGGGTATGTTTGAAGTGGAAAAAAGCAAAGTGCAACAGAATTTATACAGTATGCCACCTTCTGTTTTTGAAAAAAAGGTAAAGAAGAAAACATGCATGTATTGTCTTAAACTAGAAAACTGAGGTTGGTTATCTACAAGAGGGAAAAAGACAAGGTCAAAGGGATGTAAGAGGGAGTGATACTTCTCTGAAACTACACAGTGTTTGTAGTTTTGTGTAGATTATGTTAAAAAGAAAATTAAATCAACAAGGACCCTAAAACAAATGATCAAGTGGCAATTTAAATGAGTAACAAAACCACACTTAAGGAAAAAACTTGTCCACTTACCTAAAGTTAAAATATATTAGCATAAATGTTAATAATATCTTGTTAAAAATCTTTACTGCCTGTAGGATCTTTTAGGCTGTTCTCTTTTTCATAGCTGACATTGGTAATTTGTGTCTTCTCTCTTTACTTTATTAATCTCACCAAATTGATTCATATCATCAATCTTTTCAGAAGAACTAGTACTGCACATGTTCTCTACTGTATATTTATTTTCTATTCTATGAATTTCTCCTTTTTTAATGTCTAGCTACTTCCTCTGGGTTTAGTATGCTGTTCCTTTCTAACTTCTTGAAACTGATGTTCAGATCATTGAGTATTTTTCAGGCTTTCTTCTTTCCTAACACATGCATGTAAGGCTATAAACTTTCCCCTGAGTATGACTTTAGCTACACCCCACACATTTTTATATACTGTATTTTTCATATTAACTCTAATCAACATATTTTGTGAAATTTTCTAATTCTCATTGTAATATCTTCCTTGATCATGGAATACTGAAAAATGGTTTTCTAGTTACCTTTTGCTATTGCTTTCAGCTTAATTTATAGAAGTCATGTTTGAAATCAATCTTCTAAAATATACTCAAACTTGCTTTTGCCAACAAGCTGATAGCTAGTGTCCAGTCTACTTACAAAGAAAGTGTATTCTGCAGTTAGGTACAACATCCAGACACACTGAGGCAATTTTATTAATTGTGTTGTTCAAGTCATCTATATCCTTTGTTCTATCAGTCGCAGAGAAAGTGCAAAAAAAGAAACTTCCCTCTATGATTGTGATTTTATTTCCTCTCCCTACTTCTTTTTATTTTATTTATTTATTTATTTATTTATTTGAGAAGGAGTCTTGGTCCGTCGCCAGGCTGGAGTGCAGTGGTGTCATCTCAGCTCACTGCAACCTTCGATTCCCTGGTTCAAGCGATTCTTTTGCCTCAGCCTCCCAAGTAGCTGGGATTACAGGCATGTGCCACCATGCCCAGCTAATTTTTGTATTTTTAGTAGAGATGGGGTTTCACCTGATCCCCTGACCTCATGATTCGCCCACCTTGGCCTCCCAAAGTGCTGGTATTACAGGTGTGAGCCACCATGCCCAACCCTTACTTCTTTTTAAATCAACATTATAATAATTAAAATTATCTCTAGATGATCTAGACACCTCATTATAGAAAACAGAAACGTGAATATCCTCTTCTACACTAATTTAAAGTGGCAGCAATTTTTTCAGCTAATTATTATCCAAAATAGCTTAATATCACCTATCCCAAAAATAGAATCATTTTTATACATATCCTTCAAAGTTTAATTGGGTCATATCCAATAACTCCAGACAGTAGACCAATTTGCCTAATTACTGAGAGGTACATTGTGCAACTAATTCATACTGCCAGACATATGGGGAAAGTAGCAATAATCTACAATACATTCCACAGACAAATTACTGAGACGTTTCTACAGTCCTAAACTTCCCAAACCAAAATTACTCTGGTTCTGCTCTCTGGCAAAGATGTCAAATATTCCACCCTTCAGTTCCCATGGTGCTGTATCCTGCTGAGCTAAGATGCCACCTTAATTTCACTCTAACACAATGCTCCAGACTGCAGTTGTTGGCACTGGCATGTGATCTAAAAGCCACCAACCACTCATCTTTGGATGCGTACTTGCTCACGTGGTCAACAGGTGGGGAAAAGTCCTGTGTGCAAGCAGTCCTTCCAAGAATCTCAGAGCTCTGATACACAATCAGTCTTCATCGGTGCCCTCCAAGTTCTCAGGTCAGGGTGTCACCTTTGGTTTGGATCAGGAACCCCTGCCATACCATCCCAGGGCACCTTTTGTTTCTCTGTCAGCAGCGGTGCATTAAAGTGATCTCTTTATTCTGCTATGCAGTTACTAACAGCTCCTCATGGCAGGAACCACTGATTCATCCAGCAGCCACAGCACTCAGCAATACCTAGCACATAGACCCACACCTTCTACCTTTGTCTCCTATCTATCCTCTACACAGCAGTCCTAGCAATCCTCTTATAATCTAACCCAAACATCATCATTTCCCTGCTCAAAACTTTGCAATGGCTCATCTTACTCATAATAAAATCCAAAGTGCACCACAGTTTATAAGCCTATACAATCTGTCCCTTTACTACCTCTGCATGATGCATCCCCCCAACCCCCCTGCTGCCACTCAGGTACCTCAAGGGGGCACTTGCTGTTTCTCCCCAAATAAGGATCATTCCCAAAATATTTGCCTGGCTGCTTCACTTCTTCACTTCTGTTTGCATCTCTCTTCAAATGTCATCTCAGATAGGCTTCCCTGACCACCCTATCAAAAACAGCAGTCTCTGATACTTTTCTCTTCACTCGCTTTGCTTTCTTACTACACACACACACACACACACACACACACACACACACACACGGCTATATACAAAAGAAAGCACAGTAAAGAAAGCAAAGCAAGTGAGGGAAGATATATATATATATATATATATATATATATATACTTTAACATGTTGTTTATTAGCTTTCTTCCCTACTACAATGTTGTCCCATCAGAAAAGGAAGAAAATATGTTCTCCAAAACAAGGGTCAGGGATTTTTAGTGTAAAGGGCCAGATAGTAAATATGTCGTGCTGTGTGAGTTAACCTCTGCTGCCACTACTTACCCCTTTCAGCTTTGCCTTGCAGCACTAAAGCAGCCCCAGACAAGAAATAAAAGAACAGACAAGTCTGTGTTCCAAGACAATTTTCCTTACAAAATCAGGAAAAGAACCAAATATGGCCCATAAGCTATAGTTTACCAACCCCTGATCTAGAACAAGCTTGCCATGCAGGATATTGATTTTGAACTTACCAACCACCTTGGTCTCTAAAGCTACTTTTAATTGACAAAATACTGACACTCCAAGCGCATCAGTAACAATAACTTCAAACTATCTTCTATACATCTTCCACCAAAAAAAAATCCACCTGAGATCAATTATATTCCTAAATGACTGTTTGAGGGATATGAAGTGTACTTATTCTCAAAACCAGAAAATATATAATAAACGATGTTAGTCTGACCCTCCAAATTTTGATTACTGTACTTTTACTTCATTTAAGGACATTATGATAAATGGCCAAACAAGAACCACTGTTCGATGTACCACATGAATGCCACTGAGCACGTCACCTACTACACCTTTCAGTGTAACCAGTTCAAAGCCCCAAGTGTTAAATGGGGAACATATTAAGGAAAAGAAACTGGTATGTTCTTTATGGATGGTGAAAACAACAGCATAGAGCTGAGGATGATTTCCTTTCACTGTGGCCACCAGGATGTTCACCCAAGTTCCCAATCAGACCGGGGCAGAGACTAGTTATGCCACCAAAACCCTGTCAGCAGCAGTGCATTACAGTGATCTCTTTCTTCTGCTACACTATGCTTTCTTCTGCTATGACCTCTCTTCTCCTGGTATGTATAGCTCTGCTACGTGTCCAGCCTAAAGTAAGCTAAGAGAGGCCATGTCTGAGTACAGCTAGTAGGATGAGAAGCAAAGTGTACTGGTCCATAAAAACCTCCCACAGGACTGTCCTCATTCCCCACCCACTGGCTGAACTGAGCAGTTTCCCAGTTCCTATAGGAGGCTAAGTCACAAGGTGGAAAAAAGCTGACTACCTGAACAGCCATGTGGATG